AGTACTCTAAACTGTATAAATAATGTAAAATTAAATTGAATTTATTAGCCAATCAGACGAACTTCTGCCTATGTCATGTACTAGCGGAATGATTTGATAAAATAATTTTTTTTATCTGTTGCAACAACGGGACAGTCCCGAGTATGCCCCGAATTTGCAGATCGTTACACAAGTGATTCAATTTTTTTTATGTTACAATTAGTGATGTGCAAATAAATTTTTTCGCATGAAATGCACATGGGAATTTTTAGGAACGTTTTATGAGTTTTCGGAATATTTTGGAATCGATTAAAAATTCTGGCTCATATTATAGTGGCTTCATGATAAATAAAGTTTTATTCATGCGTATTAAATATATATAATTGTAATGATAAACAAATGAGCATCAATAAATGAGTTAATAAATATAGAATTTTACACCAATCTACCATTTTAATAAATCCGTGCATAGTAATTTGATAATTTACCAGCATTATGAGTATAGTTGGTGGTAGAATTAATTTTGAAAATTATCGAATTACGGCACGTGTCGTATTTTTTGCCGTAATAGCCGTAATTATAAATACGGAACCAAAATTAAGCATATTGGCCAAAAGCCTGGATCAGAATTCATCGGAAACAGGTTGTATTAAATAATACCGAAATGTTCTGATGTATAACGACCCAAAATTTTGGTCGATTTTCTGTATTTTGGCTCAGCCATATAATTACGGCAATTAGATGCTATGCCGTAATTAATTCTACCATATGGTAGAATTCTGTAATGCCGTAATTCAGTAATTCTACCACCAACTATAATTATAAGTATATATAAAAATTATGCGCATTGCCTATCACTAGTTACAATACTTTTTTTAAAAGCTCGAGTAGATTATCTTGTGAAAACTATTAGAGAAACTTGAAGTTTGCACCTTGCCTTACAACATGTTCGTTTAATTCATCTTAATCAAACAACTTTCATATTTCACTTCACCAGTTGAAGTTATAAGTAATTAACCACTCCTACATTGACAAAATCTCGTTCGTTGCGCAAAAAAAAGGCGAAATAACGTTTAATTATGGTAGTGTAGAAGAAAGAAATTAGGTTGTATTTTTTTTACTATACATTTCGCATAGAAATCTTATAGAAAAGGAAAGTTTATATGAATAATATTAATTAACTATACAATTTATTAATATTATCATAATAGAATCTTTTAGGATACGATGAAAAGTTATACGTATGCATGCACAATGTATATTAAAAGTGCAAAAGATTTATTATTAGGCATTAGTTGTTTAATTTAAATAGTATAACGATAATTTAAGATCTTAGAAATCTGAGTAGATATAGAATTAAACGTAGAATTAGGCGTAGAATTAGACATATATAGATGATTAAATAAATAGAACCAAATACTAATAATTGAGATTTAAATTAATTAATACATGCTAGCTTACCTAACAATAACATTTGGCGGCATTTGCTTCGAACTTTAACTATAGATTTTAATTAAATTTCGTTTCTTTTCATTTTATAAAAATTTAAATTTCGTTTGGTTAATCAGCACGTGATAAATTTCGAATGATAAATATTTACAATTTTGATTGGCTAAGAATCGTATCTCGAATTTAGTAAATCGACCAATCAGATTACAAAAAAAATTTGTGTGATTTACAGGGATTCAAAGAATATGTTATAAGGCGAAGTGGAAGCATTAATTCATCCGCTAAATTTACTCTCGTTTCATAGAAAGTTAAGCTACCCGAGTTTTTAAAAGAAGTAGTGTAAACCGTATAAAAAAATTATTTATCAATTGTGTAACTATATCGGAATAATCTACCGGTCGCTCCTGTTATATCGATATGTTGCACACCCTCCTGTTTGCCATATTAATATGCAGGAGAGGCTGTTGATGTTATACGACTAATTCCGACACCTGTTGTGCAAAATATTTTACAATATCAGACCATTCGCTAGTGCATGTTATGATTATAATAAAACAGATATTGGATTATGTACTAGTTGGTATTGTAAATTAACTATTTTATGTGTTGCACACCAGGTGTTGGATTAGTTATATAACATCAACGGTCTCTTCTGTTATTGTTATATGAAACATTATATAGCTTATTTATTCTATCGTATCGATGAAATACTCCAGCAGCGCTCTTATGAGGTGGAAAGTGCCTACATATGCCATTGGATAAATATTCACTATTTCTGCTGCCCAAGGAATAAACAGTACTTATTAGTTGCTTCTCATCCATAACTGTTTAGCATTCCATGAATGTAGTGCTATTTATTCATATTATATAAAGATTGATTATAGTATTTGGGCTATTTTTTTTTACGAGTCATAATAATCGATTTTTATAACTTACTAGAAGTTTTATTAATTATAAACATTAATTATCTACTTGTGTTATTTTCTGTGTAACAGTATATTCTTGGATGCTACCATGTTAAGTATATATGTACGTACAAAAATTCATCAAAAAATAAATATTTAACATATTATTATTTAGTATTAATAATTTCTTTAAAGTAGTGTACTTGTTCTATATTCAATTGAATACAATGAAAAGAAAATGTTATTTCACCTTTCTGACACCCTTACTCTGGAAAATTTTCTTTTTATCTTTTCCGCTATTGTCAGCATCATTAGTTGACGAATCTTATTCATCATTCCGACAAGATGCTTATGATTCTTTTCTTAATACAGTTTTTCCAGTCACTTTTATTATCTTTTTTAAAGTTACAGAAAACTCTGGGCGATTTAAGAAAGCTTTTTTGCCAATACTGGATGACATATTATATAATATAGTAACTTGGGTGATTCCTCTTATAGTTTCTTTCACTTATAATTTACAAGAAATAATGATATTTTCAATTGCAAATGCAATTCCTCATCTGACTTGCGCGTTAATTGCATTAATACTACAAAAGACTATTTTGGAGGTTAAAAATTCGGATTCGGAGGTTAAAAATTCGTACTGGATTATATTTCTTTCTATAAATATTTTCCTGATAATTATTCCGGCTTTATTGATTCCACTATTCTGGATCGTTTTTATTATAAAAAACCTAGATTATCGTTATGAACCAATTAATTTAGCATTCCTTACGTTATTTGCAACGACGTTAGGTCTAGCATTGCTTGTTTTTTTTCCTGTTTGGATTCGTAAGGCGAGGAGTGATGGTGTAGATGAGGAAAAATTTAATTATATATTTGGCTTGTTAGCTCTATTCAATTTTTATTCTCCAAATTTTCTGCAAACTTTATTCATTGTATTGACGTGGCCAATTAATTTTTATTTGGTCAAATTATGGGTCTTTACCCAGATTCTGTCTTTAACAAGAAGTATATCTTACTATGATGTTAAGAAAATACCAGATGATTTTTTAGCTACTTCAACTGCAACGACTCAATGGAGAATACATGAATTTAAAGCACGAAAGGATAGACCAATTAATAATGAAATTATACTAAAAAATATACTAAAAAATATAGTCAAAGACTTTAGTAAGGAATATATGAATGACGATAAAAATGAAGTAGCAGTAAAGGATATGCTACGTAATGTTATAAAAGATATATTGAATGATAATAATGTTGATATAAGGAATGATGTTAACAGCGTAGAGATAAGTGACGATGTTAATAACCTAGAGATAGGAAATGATGTTTAATAACGTTTCTAATAAAATTTTGATTTGATTATTAGTTATCTTAATTGTAATACAGATTTAATTGCCAATTCTTTTAAGTTGAATAATATTTTATATGCGCAAATTACTATTAAGTTTATTATAATTATGAAATATTCATTGCATTCATAGCTAAATATTTATTTATTTATTTATTTTGTAGTTAAGGTGGCTAACTATTTATTTTATTAAGCTAATATATACTCAATTTATAGTAAAAGTGTAGAGAAACATTTCTACATATAATGTAAAAAAATATATCAAAATTGGTTTAGCAATTTATTACATATTTATATTTTAGATTTTGTAATTATATATAATTTAATGAACAAGAAAAACTTTAAGCCTATATATAAAACATAATAATTTGCATTATAGTTACTATATAATAATACTATTATTTTTAAGTGGATTGCTAATTAATTTTTTTAGAATTTTAGTATTGATAAAGCAATATATTAATTATTTTGCATTAACTAACAAATAAATATATATATAAATATAATATTATAATATTATAAAATATAAATTATTTTTTCTTTTATTATTATTATAATAATGTTTAAGTAAAAACATTATTATATATAAAAACAAAAGTTCTAAATTTTAAAGATTTTTAAACTATATTTGTGTTACAAAAAAGCATCCAATATGAATTTTTTTTTTGGTATTAATGTAACCTCTTTGGTCTTTTGATTTTTATTAATGACTTATTGGTATTGTAATTCAATGAACTACTACAAAAGAGTATACAATTGGTTACATATGTAATTTTTCTATATTACCTATTTAAGGAGTCTGCCTAAAAGTTCCTATCAATTGCTGTAATTAACACCCCTGCTTGGATGTTTTACTTTAAACTCTCTAAATCTGTAACCTGTGTTAATTTACTAGTTTATACCCAGATGCTCAGATCATCATCTCAACCTTAGGATTAATTTATTCTTGAGATAAATTCTCTAAAGCATTCTGTACTCATTTTTACAGCTAATCTAGATATCACTATAGCAGAACCAACACTTATGGTCAGAGATTAACTATTAAACTGCTATGTCCTTATAGAGTTTACTCAGACCTCAGTATCTACTTCATAGCATAACTCTGATACTTTAGTATATCTCTGAATTTCATCAAACTTTCAACATCCAATATGACATTACACTACCTATTTTTTATAAGTATTATATTTAATTATTTCAAATTAGATTTTAGCTAAAGTAGATTAGAAAATATCTTTAAGTAATTGTCTAAATATTAGTTAAAGCAAGTAGTTAATTAATAATTCTGTAAGAGCTATTTGGTAATATAAAAGTTAAAAAAAATTGTAATATTGGTTAAAAGATTTAACAGAATTGGTAAAAGAATTTTAGTCTTTTTTTTGGTGTTAAGATGAGGCCTTGCTTATATTTTTATTAGTAATTTTAGTTGTATATATTAATATATTATATTATATATTAAAGATATATTAATATTGCAAAATACAAAATAAAAACTAGATGCAAAAATTAAAGTTCAGACAACTTTATCTGTGATCTAAACTGATAAAAGAATTTTTGTATATTTAGTTTTAGATATAATATTATAAAATTAATTTTAATAATATTAATATATATTATAAATAAACAAAATATCTTGATAAAACCAGTTTAGCAAGTTATTTAAAAGATAAAATAGAAAATATCTGGTTGTTTTTTTTAAATATTAAAATGTTCTAAATTGACAAGTCTGTTACTAATTATTAGTAATAATCAGATAATTTTTAGTTAAAAAAATGTATAAATTTAATAAGCAAGTTTAATTTAGATTAGATTCTTCAAGAATAGTCTACATTATATTGAAACTAATATTTTATTAATTTAAGAATTATAGTATTCTATACTACTTCAAAAATACTATATACTGTAATAAAATTTACTTTTATTATTATTATTATATATTTATTTTTAGCTCTATATTATATTTTATATTTTTCTTAATATTTTTATATAGTTTATAAATAATTTTATTAGTTTTAATCTCCTATTTAATAGGTTAATATTTATTTTATTAGTAGATTTCTTATAGTATTTTATATTAGTCAATAGTTGTTTAAATATTTAGATATATAGTTGTTTAGTATTACAAGGGCTCTGACCAAAGACCTTAAGTTATGCTTTAAATGCTCCAGATGCTTCAGAATACTCTAAAATAATAGAATAATTAATTTAATTATAGATAATTAATATTTATTTATAATGCAATATTTACTACATTGTTACTATATAGTTTCTATATACTATATAATATTCTCTATTTTTATTTCTAACTCTATCTTATCTGTAATTTTTTAAATAAGTGAAACAACCAACAAGCTTAACCAAATATCTTCTAATAACTTATTATATAACTTATTTAACTTTTATATTGATGACTTTAGATACTAATAACTGCACTTTAAGTATTAGTTAGGTCTAAATATATTTTAATAACCAAGTTATTCACAAATTTATTGCCAAAGTTCACCTTTAGCAATCTTCTTATAAGACTAAATTCTTTTTTATTCTGTCTGCTATTTTAACTACTACCCAAAACTTTACAATTAACATCTATATAGGCTTCTAATTTATAATATCAAAATTTATTCAACTTAATTAGTTAACTCTAAATTCTAATAAACTCTTTAAATTTAACTTTTGGTCATTATGACATATCTTACTAAATATTATTAAATTATACAAATTAAATATTATTTTTTATAAAGTCTAAGTCTATTCAAACAACACTCTTAACAATATAGCAGACTTATTTGCTAAGCAATATACAAATGAACTTTTATTATACTTTAATTATACAAATATTACAATCTAAATTATTTATTATTCTTTAAAACAGAAAAATTTTTTGTCAAACTCTCTACCAAATACTTTGTAAAAGTATTTGTAAAGCTTATAACCTTGCATTATGGTTATTTCAAAAATAAGATGATGAATAGACTCTATTAGCCTACTATATTGTCAAAAATTCAATCTAGTTATACTTAACTATAATCAAAAATCTACTTACAATCTTATTAATTTTAAACTTAATCAACCCAAATTATTTAAAATTAAAATACTTCTTAATAAACTATCTATCTAATATTTCTATTATAAAATTTACTCTCTAACCAGTTATAATACTAATTACTTTTATTGCAATTTAATTATGTTACTATTATATTGGTACACTTATGTCAACTCTTCTTTGTTTAATAGCATTATCTATAATACAATAACTAACTACATAAATTAAGCAATTTAAACTTCTCAAATAATCAAATTAAAATTTTATTCAAAAAAATAATACCCATTTAGCTTTCAAAGAAATATCTCTTTACTTATTCTTATATTATTTAGAACTTACTTTTAAAGGTTATATTTTCTTATTTTCAACTATAACTATTTATAATCCAGAAGTTTTATACAAACTAGCATCAATAATTACTATTTATATTTTGCTTAAAATTAACAAACAAATCTACAAACAATTATGAAAACCCTATTGTATTAATTTTTCAAATTGGAAAAAACAATAACAATTAATATATATATATTCTAATTAACAAATTTTATTATCTTATAGTAAAAATAATATATATATATTTATTATAATTTTATATACTCTTATTTTTGTAATCAACTTAATCAACTTTATTTACATACTGAAACCTGTTTACTTGTTGAATAGGTTTTTAGAAATATCAGTAATTGGGCCACTCTGTGGGTCAACTATAACACAATTTTTAACTTTATTTTAACTATAAATAATATTATTTAAGTAAGTTTTTGACTACTCTAGTAGGTTTAAATTACAGATAAATTAGATTTATTTAATTAATTAAGCTTTTATTTTTGCATGTAATTTTTTTTTATTTGTATTAGTACAAATAGTAGAAATGTATATATTGCTTATATGTTACTATTTTATAAATTACTTAATAAAAATATAAGCAAAACTTTATTATAAAAAAAAATTACATTATACTTAAACTAATACTTATAGTTACTAAACTTTTACTATTATACTATTTCTATTTTTGTAAAGTTTACTAAGACTTTAATATTTATCTTTTTGATATCCTTTTCTTATTCAAAACTGACAAATTACCAATTTAGATAATATAATAGACTTGTTTTCAAACCTTTAATATACAATTAAGAATTCTTTTTTTTAATAAGTTCTGACAGTTTGATTAGTTATATGCTTTTTTATATATATTTATTATTTAGTTTATCTAAATATACTTTTTAAGACTTTTATTAATTTAGTAATACTATCAAAAGTTTATATTACCTCTTTATTCAGAATTTCTATATAGAATTTTATTTTTTTAGTTTTTTAGTTTTTAATATTTAGTGGCTTTATTATCTTTTAAATTGTAATATAAGCAAATTTGTTTATATTAATTTTAATAAAATTAATTTATATAATAAAACTTTAACAATTAATTTTAGCAATATACTTTCTAAATAAAACATATTCTTAGAAATATACTTTATAAACTTTATTGAAAAACTTTTTTAATTTTACTAAAAAATATTTAATTTATTAAAATTTAAAGATTATATAATATTAGAGTTTTTTATTAAAATATTTTTTAAATTTTCTAAAATTTTATATATTTTCAAAACAAAAAAAACTTTTACTCTTAAAACAAGTATTAATTTTTATATTAAATTATTAAACTTAAAATAATTAAAATTGTAATATTTAATCAAATCATTAGGAGTAACTCTTTCTGCAGATCATTTGTACCAAATTTTTGCTAAAAACATTTAAGTATTTCTAATTATTTTATTAAGTTAAACTTACTTTTGCTCTTAAATAAACTTGTTCAGGACACTTTTCTGCTTCTAGACAGCTAAGTTTCAAGCTCTGGCACCATCTGGCTGCTAAGAAAAGTTACAAAAACCAAATTTTGGGTTTTGCTTATTATCTTGAAATTTATTAACTAAATACACTTT